ATATTAAGTAAATATATAAGGTTTTAGGAACTGTCTTATCTAAAATTCTCCCAGAAGCAGCTCTTGAGACAGAATTCAAGTAAGAGTAGTTGGAAAACACATATAACACTGGTAAGGAATGGGAAATTAATACAGGGTAAAGAAGGCATCCCCTAAGGGCTGTGCTACTACACCAACTACCACATTAAGCCATTAAAGATTAATTCCATAAGAAAATTCTGAGAATGCATGCAAAATATATACCTCAGAATTGTCCAGCACCTGCTTATGAGAGTCACTGATTGAGGGCTGCCCTCCAGGGATTGTGAGTTCACTGGCATTTCCAGTCTGTCATGTGTACAGGCAGCTCTCCACAGTAGCAGGAAAAAGAGCCTGAGTCACAGATACAGATACTAGCAGTTGTAAATGAGCAGGATTTCCCACAGATATGAATGGAGAACTGACCGTATCTGCAAGGGTCCATCCCTTGCACCAATCAGATGTACTCTGTCCCCATATGAATTTCTTTCTTTTTTTGTAATTGAGGTATAATTGATGTATAACATTATATTCATTTCAAGTGTACAATGTAATGATTCAATATTTGTATATATTGTGAAATGATCATCCCAGAAAGTCTAGTTAACAGCCATCACTCTACATAGTTATAAAAAATTTTTTATGTTAATTTCACTTCATCTAGTTACTGTTTCTTCAAAGTGGTAACCAGTCAATTTTGATTAAAAAAGAAAACAAATTACAACAGGCTTAATCTTGGTGTAATTACTTAATTGTAACTACTTAATATTAGTGTATAATTACTCTGGTAAATAGCCATCTCTTCAGGAAAAGGTTGGGGAAATTACTACTGTCTGTGCTTGCTGAGGCACTGCAAAGTTCATCATCAGGAAGGCCCATCTTTCCCTTGAATCAATTCTGGGTCTGAGAACTGCTTCAGATCTGGAAACTGGATAAGGGATCAGGATTTTTGTTGTTGTTATTGGCAGCTGACATCAACACCTATCCTTGATCTTTTTGCTTAAATAGGTACAACAAAACTCTCATTGGGTGTCCCTCTACCTCTCTATCTTCTCTTTAGTAAAAACACTGAGAATTGAAGTGTTCTATTTCTTTGTTTAGAAAAACCCTATCAGGGCTTCCCTGGTGGCGCAGTGGTTGAGGGTCCGCCTGCCAATGCAGGGGATGCGGGTTCGCGCCCTGGTCCGGGAGGATCCCACATGCCGTGGAGCGGCTGGGCCCGTGGGCCGTGGCCGCTGGGCCTGTGCGTCCGGAGCCTGTGCTCCGCGGCAGGAGAGGCCATGGCAGTGAGAGGCCCGCGTACCGCAAAAAACAAAACAAAACAAAACAAAAACCCTATCAAGGGTATTTGAACAGTACTTGCCTTCTTTCTGTCTATAACTTATGATATAAATCAAGGATCTTTTCATGCCTTGGCAAATTGTCATACTACTTTCTAAGTTTGAATCCACTTCCAGCATTTTATCCTTCCCACTTTCAATGTGATGAAATATCTCTGAGAATTCCATGAATGAGAAGTTTTTCACTGGCAATCCTTTCTCTGAGATATCTTCATCCTTTCTGTCATGACCACTTTTCTCATTTATATTGTTAAGGCTGCCTTCACTAAGTTTCTCTGATCGCACATTGGAGTCTCTTAAATAGAGGTGGTGCCAGTATTTCCATGGTTAGCTATTTCTTCTTTAACCCCATTTACATTTGATTAAAATTTCACTTCTAGTATTATAACTTGTTTTTTTTTTCTTTTCTGTGCTTGATTTTTGATGGCCAATTCCCTCTTTCAATTATCCATTTTGGTAAAATGTTACATGGCTTTATCACTGTGAGAGAAAGAGACAACACAACTCTACTTTTGTCATCTGTGTGCGAACTAACAGATGTGCCATGACCAATTACCTATAGACTCTGAAAAAAGTGACATAACTGGTCACTGATCATAATGTGTATCTGTTTTTTGCATAGTGATTTGTGCATTGGAGAGCTAGTAGCAAAGTCTGTGCTTTATGCAATTGCTAACAGTTAATATATCTTGGTAACTGAAATTTGAACTATGCTATTGGAGCACTGGTAGTTTTTAACTGAACTGCAGTAACTGAAATTCATGCATATCAGAACCATGCAAAGCAAGGACTGCAAATCTATTTTAACATGCCCACCTCTCTGAGCCTTGCATAGGCTCCGGACGCCCAGGCTCAGTGGCCATGGCTCACGGGCCCAGCCGCTCCGTGGCATGTGGGATCTTCCCAGACCGGGGCACGAACCCGTGTCCCCTGCATTGGCAGGCGGACTCTCAACCACTGTGCCACCAGGGAAGCCCCTCTCCCTGAGCCTTTTGACTCCTCCTTCAGTTCTCTGCCGTGGCAGTTTCAGCATCCCCACCATCCAAGCAGAATATTTTAATTGACTCCTGGTGCCCTTGCCAGGATATTAAGTCCTGAGTCGTGTAAGAATACTCATATCAGTAAACTCTCCTTTAACCAGCCTTATTTTGTAACTTCTGGTACAGCACTCTCAAGATTCATTTCTAGGCACATTTTCCTGATGTCTGACAATATATTTTAGCCAGGTCCTGCAACTCATCTGGTGAATAATCCCTTTCCTCGCAAATCAGAGATAGCACTTCCCCCGTGAGGCTATGCTGAGGTTGACCCCAGTTATTGGCCTGGCTACCGCAGGGACAGCTGCAGCAAATTCTGAGGTAAGTATACTTGCAAGTATATTATCTTGTAAAACATCTGCTTCAGGTAAGGACTCTGCATATGTCCAGGCAAAGCAGGATTGAGAGTGGTAAAAGGAGTTGGCAACTTCTGCAGGCCCAGGAGTTTAAGGAGGTCTTGGAGAAATTCAGTAGGACACCTATGTAAGTCCAAGAGTTCATGGAGCTCTTGAAGGAGTTCAAGATTCTCAAGTCAATCCATTCTAGATATCAGGGTCCCACTCTTTTCAGATCCCTAATTTTAGAAAGAAACTTGCCAGAGCTGTTATTCAGCCTTCTTTGTAATTCTACTACTCTCACAGGCAGATACTGGGTCTAATTCTCAACACAATCTGTCCTCTAGCTTTAGAAGATTAGAGCTTCCTTAAATACTGCCAAAGAGATTTTGTGGCTTTCACACAATTCCCATGGTTCATGACTGGCTAGTTTGAGTATGTGGTTTTCTTTCTTTCTTCATATGTTAAATGACACGCTGACGTCATTTAACAGCAACTGATCAAATCCATAGTCCTGATAATCATCAATGTCACCATCTCTCAAATTCCAGAGATACTGCATAAGACAGTGCATGCCCTTCCACCTCATCCCATCCCAATTCATCACAATAAGAAACTTAGTGATTATAAAGCTACAATACACCAGAGCTTATCACCACCCCACTTATCACTAGCAATGGTGTCTTTGCTGCAACCTGGGTGTCAAGTGATTCTGTTCTAGAATCCATCTTGAAGATCTGCTTTCCAGAACAACTTCTTGTCTCACTTGCCTTAGTTAAGGATTCCCACCCCCCAGAAGCAGACCCAGAGAAAACACTTAACTGAAAATATTCATTTGGAGTTTCAAGAAACAACGGAGGGAAGGAGGATATGACATAGGGAAGAGAAGACACTCAATAAAGAATACATTATCAAACTAAATATCTCAGTGGGTAACTGGAGTTTAATCCCTTAGTGTGATATCTGGGAAATACAGACACAAATTATCCTACCTGAGGACCAAGAAAACTGGAATGTTTAAATACCAATTTCTCTCAGTCATTGGTTGTGAACAGAGTTGTTAATTCTTCAGCATGTCCAACCTGCCATGCTCATGAAGAAAAAAGCTTTCTACAGCATGGAGAGCCTCATGCAATACTAGTAGAAGTCAGCCAGAAAAGACAGTCCTGGAAAGGCCTCAGGAATCTGGGTAGGGGAGCACAGCACCTGCTATACCAGTCATCCCTGATCCTCAGGGAAAAAAAAAAAATGTATATCTTGAACCTTGGTGCTGAGTGGAGCTGAAAAATAGTCTCCCAGTGAATCTGGATCAAGAGAATTCTCTGGGTTCCCAGATCACCAAAGAAGGAGGAGCATTAGGCTGGTGTTAAGGCCTGAATTGTGTCCCCCCAAAATTATATGTTGAAGCCCTAAACTCCAGTCCATCAGAATGTGACTGTATTTGGAAGTCGGGCCTTTAAAGAGGTGATTAAGTTAGAACAAGGCCATTAGGGTGAGCTCTAATCCAATCTGACTGGTGTCCTTATAAGAAGAGGAAATTTGGACACACAGAGAGACACCAGGGGTGTGGATACACAGAGGAAAGACAATGTGTACATACTGTGAAGGTAGCCATCTGAAAGCCAAGGAGCCTTGAAAGAAACCAAACCTGCCAATACCTTGATCTTGGAATTCTAGCCTCCAAGACTATGAGAAAAATACATTTTTATTATTTAAGCCACTCAATTTGTGGTACTTTGTTGTGGAAGCTCTAGCAAACTAATATAGCTGGTATGGCTCAGTGATCCAGGAACATCATCCCCATGAGAGCAGAACTACAGGAAAATGATCCTTCTACAAGATCAATCTATCCTGATCAAGCAATTCCTCCACAGGTGCATTGCAGAACTTCTCCTGATGCTCCCTGGCTTGCCAGAATCTCAGGATCAACAGAACTTGTGAGTTTTACTATGCCTTCTTTTGATAACCCAGAAGTCCATCTTCAGAAATGGAATCCAGTAGAAATGACACCACAGATAATCAGTCATTTAACTATGCTTGATTCACTGCTCCCACCAGAATAGGACACATCTGGCCCAGACTCTGGATCTCCACTGCATCCTTCAGTCAGAGGTCAGATGCTGCAGAGGATGTCAGGGGACAATGTCTGAGAAGAGAACCTCCTGTCCCTCTTTTTCCCCTAGAAAGCTAGTATGGACCTTCCCAAGAATTGTTATTGCTATTTAACAATTCTTGGAAAATCACCAAGTGATTTTCCTACCCCAGCTCACCCTCAAATGGCAACGATAAAGGTCTCTCCACCAAGCACTGGATTTTGTCTTCTGTCCTGCAACCTGAAAATAGAAGTGTGTCACTTTCAGAGTTGACCCAGCCTTCCAATAAGCAGACTTCTGAAGATTCCAGGACCACAGGAATACATTCTTTTGAGTTTCATCTAAAGTATTTTTTTCTTTTAATTTTATCACCATTTATTAAGTGAATATGCAATGGCCCAAATGGAAATTTGATAGAATTATAATTCTTAAGATAGTGATTATTGTAATGTAAATCTTTTTTCACTTCCATTTTATTTAATTATAAATAGTGTAACTACAGTAAATTTGCTGTTTTGAACAAGTCCAATAAAACACAGCAGGAATTTTTTGCCCCTCTACAATAATTTTGATTTTTTAATATTTTCATTCTACTGCCCTTAGTTAAGTGTCTATATAATAGCTCAAATATAAACTTGATAGATTTACAATTCTCAACGTAGTGCTTTAAAAATATACATTGTGTAAATATAAATCTTATTAATAAATTGCTTCCATTTTATGAGTTTAATTGAAATCTAATTTCAAATGTCTATCTTTAAGGTTTAGATAATGTTAATTTAGTATTTTGTTATTGCTATTTAGCAAGTCTTTCTTATTAATCCAGAAACAAATCTTCTAGTTTCAGTGCTACAGTCAGGTAATTATACAGATGTTCAAATAGAAGCTCACTAGAGTAATAATTCTTGGGATATTGTTTTATAACAATAAAAGTTGTAAGTGTTGCTTATTTAAGAATGAAATTTGTGAGTCAATTGCTTCATTCTCTTCGATTTCTAGATAATGGAAGTGTGGTATTTTGGCGTTGGTGTTTGAATTAGTTTCCTGCAGCTGCAGTTACAAATTACCACTGTGAAAGGAAAATCAAAATTGAGTCAGTATTACTAAGAGAGTTCTCTAAAATGGAGCTGGGAAACGACTGAGGAAGTGTGACTTGTGCATGTCTCAGGCAGGATGGAATATGAACTTTGATCACTTATTATCTCAACACAGTCATTCGGAACATCTGCCCAGTATTCCAGAAGCTTAAGATACTTATTGGATGCTGACCCTAAAATAACTCATGGCAACCTATCCCTTAAGGACAAATATTTCCTTTCTTCTGTTATAGTTAATCATATTCTTGCCAGACAACTTTACCAACCATGTAGCTTTTGCCTTTATAAGCCCCTGACTCTTTCTCTTCCCTGAAGCACTCTTTAGGTTTTCCCCCAATCTGTGTCTTGCAAACTGCAATCCCTAAGACCACCCCCGCACCGCTCCCCGCAAATAAACTCTTTTCTTATTTGGAGCCTTCTGTGTTTCTTGGTTGACACTCCGTACTAGTAGCTTAAAATGACAGATTTATTCTCTCACAGTTCTGGAGGCCAGAGTTCAAATCAAAATGTCATCAGAGTTGCACTCCCTCTAGAGACCCTAGGGGAGAATCTTTCCTTGCCTTTTCCACCTTCTGGTGGCGCCCAGCATCCCTTGGCTTCCTTGGCTTGTGGCCACAGTACTCCATTCTCCACCCCCATCTTCACTTTGCCTTCTCCCCTGTGTACACCTTCCCCTCTGGATGTCTATCTAATAAAGATTCCTGTCATTTGATTTAAAGCCCACAAAGGTAGTCCAGGATGATCACCTCATCTCAAGATCCTTAATTACACTTGCAAAGCCCCTTTTTTCAAAAAAGGTGACATTCACAGGTTCCAGGACTTAGAACATGGATAAACCCTTTGGGGAGGGGCAGGGCACCATTTAACCCACTACAGTATTTTACAAGTTGCCCATAACATAAAGTGTAATGAGAGTTTTACATGAGTAGTCTAGCAAGAAGAGACTTTTGAAACTCAAAGTCAATTTCTGTATACCAAGGGCTATATTTACTCTGGTTGGTAGACTAATATGTTTACCTAAAAGATAGTAATTATTCTTTTTGAAAAAACTTATTAGACTAATATTTATAAAATGAAAAGATAGTAGAATTTGGAGTCAAAATATATTTATTTCTTAAAATGTGTGCCCATGTTAAGGACTGAAAAGATACACAACTAAAATGTAAACAGTGGTGATGGGAGGAGAATGGGAAGTGGAGGGTAGGGAGAATTTCTCATTCTTTCTCTGTATGTACTTGCATTAAAATGCACACACTAGTGCACATATCTGGCATCCAGGTTTTTGTGGCTGCTACCCAGAGGAAACATTCCTTGATACTTTGGCTCTAATGGCCATCAGGGTTTGTGTTCACAGGTTCAATGGGATGATAGCAAACAAAGAAACAGTTCTTAACTGATTCATGCCAGAGTTCAGTGCAGAGAGAAAAGAATGAAATGCTCTCTCCTCGCCTTCCCCTGAAAGAGGTATATTTGCACACTTTAAAAACTACTGCCTGAGGGTTCAGTTTCCAGTCAGCCTGCACCTAGATGCTGACTAAGATTCTCCCCTTTGGGACACTGACAGGTCTTGGCACACTCTCAACTACTGGGAGCAACTAAGAACAAAGTAGGCTGCTTGGACAAACCAAAAGGTTTGAGAGACGACCAAGAGGTAGGAAAGAGTTGAATGATAAGATTTGTCTCCTGTATGAGGTCACTCCAAAAAGACTGGGAGAGGTGGTTCTTTTCTCTAACACATACAAACCAAAACAGAGAGCCAAGGAAAACAAAGAAACGAGGAATATGTTCTGAATGAAAGATCAAGAAGAAAAGAGCATTTGAGATGCTTATGCATTTGGGAAGACTCAAAATTACTAAGTTCAAGAATAAAAGTGGATGGAAGTCCTAGCCAGAGCAATTAGTCAAGAAACAGAAATGAAAGGCATCTAAATTGGAAAGGAAGAAGTAAAATCGTCACTATTTGCAAATAACATGATATTATATATAGAAAACCCTGAATACCCTACCAAAAAAAAAAAAAACTGTTAGAACTAATAATCAAATTCAGTAAAGTTTCAGGATACAAAAATCAATATACACGAGGGCTTACACGAGGGCTTCCCTGGTGGCGCAGTGGTTGAGAGTCCACCTGCCGATGCAGGCGACACGGGTTCATGAGCCATGGCCGCTGAGCCTGCGCGTCCGGAGCCTGTGCTCCACAACGGAAGAGGCCACAACAGTGAGAGGCCCGCGTACCGCAAAAAAAAACCCTCAATATACAAAAATCTGTTGCATTTTTATACACTAACCAGCAGAAGGAGAAATTAAGAAAATAATCCCATTTACAATTTCATCAAAAAGAATAAAATACCTAAGAATACATTCAATCAAAAACATGAAAGACCTGTACACTAAAAACTATAAGACACTGATGAAAGAATTTGAAGAAGATACAAATAAATGGAAAGATATTCCAAGCTCATGGATTGGCAGAATATTGTTAAAATGTCTACACTCTGCAAAGCTATTTGAAGATTCAATGCAATCCCTATCAAAATTCCAATGATATTTTTCAAAGAAATAGAAGAAACAGTCCTAAAATATGTATAGGACCACAAAGGACCCCGAATAGCCAATGCAATCTTAAGAAAGAAGAGCAAAGCTGGAACCATCACAGTTCCTGATTTCAAACTGTATTACAAAGCTATGGTAATCAAAACATTATAGTATTGGCATAAAAACAGACACATAGATCAATGGAACAGAATAGAGAGCTCAGAAACAAACCCATGTATATATGGTCAATTAATTTACAACAAAGGAGCCAAGACTATACAATGGGGAAAGGACAGTCTCATCAATAAATGCAGTTTGGAAAACTGGACAGCCACATACAAAGGAATGAAACTGGGTCACTGTCTTATACCATACACAAAAATTAACTCAAATGAATTAAAAACTTGAATGGAAGACTTGAAACCATAAAACCGCAGGAAGAAAACATGGACAATAAGTCCCTTGACATCAATCTTGGCAATGATTTTTTAAAATTTGAGACCAAAAGCTAAGACAACAAATGCAAAATTAAACAAGTGGGATACCATCAAACTAAGAAGTTTCTGCTCAGCCAAGGAAACTATCAACAAATGGAATGGCAACCTACTGAAAAGAAGAAACTATTGGCAAACCTTATATCTGATAAGGGGTTAATATCCAAAACTATATATAAAGAACTCATACAACTCAATAACAAAAAATCAGACAATCTGATTAAAAAATGGGCAGAGGACCGAAATAGACATTTTTCAAAGAAGACATACAGATGGCCAACAGGTACCTGAAAAGATGCTCAACATCACTAATCATCAGGGAAATGCAAATCAGAGACTTGCAAAGAGATATTACCTCACACCTGTTAGAATGGCTATTATCAAAAAGACAAGAAATAACAAGTGTTGGCAATGATGTGGAGAAAAGGGAATCTTTGTGCATTGTTGGTGAGTATGTAAATGGGTGCAGCCACTGTGGAAAACAGTACAGAGTTTCCTCAAATAATTAAAAATAGAACTACCGTATCATCCAGCAATTCTTCTTCTGGATATTTATCAGAAGAAAACAAAATCACCACCCTGAAGATGTATCTGCACCCCCATGTTTATTGCAGCATTATTTACAATAGCCAAAACATGGAAACAACCGAAGTGTCCATCAATGGATGAAAGTTTATCCTCACTATGTGAGTGAGAGATAGATAGATAGATAGATAGATAGAGAATATTGTTCAGCCATAAAAAGGAAGGAAACCCTGCCATTTGCAACAATATGGATGGACCTGGAGAGTATCATGCTAAGTGAAATAAGTCAGACAGAGAAAGTCAAATACCATATGATCTCACTTCTATGCGGAATCTTAAAAAAAAAAAAAAGACTCATAGATACAGAGAATAAAATGGTGGTTGCCAGAAGCAGGGGGTGAGGTTTGGGTAAAGGATGAAGTTGGTCAAAAGTACAAACTTCCAGTTATAAGATAAATAAGTCCTGGGGTTTTAATGTACAGCATGGTGACTATAGTTAATAATACTGTATTATATACTTGAAAGTTGCTGAGAGAGTAGATCTCAAAAGTTCTCATCACAAGAAAGAAATTTATGTTTGTATTTGTCG